ACTTGATCCTTGGTAAGCGGGCAGGGGGGGGGGGGATTTCTTGCTTTTTGTCTCTCTGGCGGGCACATATGCCCTATAGAAAACATCTCTGTCTCAAAAAAGAAGGAGAAGGAGGAATAAGAAGCTCAAAGCCACGTGATATCTAAGTGTATTAAAACAGTAGCTGCTTGCCGACACTTGGATAGTACGTATTCTATGGCAGGCATTGTTCCGGGGGTTTTACATTCATTCATTCACTGAATCCTTCCAATAACCTTCTGAGGTAGCTACTCCTACCCCATTTCACAGGTAGGAAAACAGTGGACAAGGTTAAGAAAGAGACTTGTGGGGCTGGCAGGTGGCTTGGTGGTTAAGGGTGCTGGACTCCCACATGGCTGACCACAGTTCGAGTGCTGAACAGCACTTGGCAGCTTGCTTTCTCACTTTCTCTCATCAAATAGAAATGAATGAATGAATAAATACAGTTAAATTTTAAAAATTATTTAAAAAAAAATAAAGAAACAGAAAGACTTGTGCAAATCCCTTAGCTAGTAAATGACAGAACAAGGATTTGAATGCAGTAAGAGTCTGTGTGCAAATTAGTATGCTCCACTCCCTCCCATGGGCTGGATATTCCAGTGTTCCAAAGAGCAAGGGGAACAAAGGGCCGTCAGGCAGTGTGGACTCAAGTAGCTCTAACAGCAATACTCACCAACACAGAGCAACCCAGTTAACTGCCCACCAAGACTGTGACAGTGCCACCGAAAACTCCTTTATAAACCTTCTCTGCAAATCTTAGAGTTCAAACATTCGTGTAGAAGAGCCCAGGGTCTTAGGAGCCGGGGTTGAACTGATTTTTGTCTGCCGATCTTAAACATTGTAAATGAAGACAGTTTTTAAGAAATGCCTTTTTCTAATAAGACACTTTCTTTCTTGGCAAATTGCATTTTTGTCAGCTAAACCCAAGTAATTTAGGTCTGCTTTACAGCTTTAGGGACCATCTACAGATTTATTATCTGACTCAATTAGTTCATGGTTCTTTCTCTAGGAGACGTGATTCCAAATAGGAACCCTATGATGTGAGCCACAAGATGGCGCTCTAATATAGGAAATGAGCTACTGAGCTCCCGGGAAGCCCAGATGATTAGCGTTTCAGAAACGAATATCCTCCCGCTGCTGATCACCCAGCTCTAGCAAAGCGCTCTGCCCACAGCTCTTATCTGGCACCACAGAAGATTCTGGGCACTTACTTTCTCAGGAAATCTTCCAACCCTTGACGACGCTGGTCGACATGCTGGCGATTATTCATGTTGAAAAACAGGTTTTTAGATGGAAGTTCTGGCAGTTGTCTTATGAGAAAGGAAAACAATAAAACACTTCAATCATCAAAATAAGGTAGCTTCGGTACAGAAATAGCTCAAACGGAAAAACAAGTTATGTATGATGGTAGTTACCATACAGCTATGAGTTATTATGAATTTGATACAGTTATGGATAAAGAAATGTGGAAATCAGTTCAAGAAAAAAAAAATCTTTAAACGTGTGAAGTCGTTGAGTGGTCGAAGTTCATGTGATACATTCTTTTTAAGATTTTCACAATAGGGCACGTGTGCTTGCCAGATACAGATAGACAGAGGCAGCGAGAGGGAAAGTGAGAAATCCCCCCCCCCCAGGGTGGATAGCCATGCTGCAATCCCTTCTCCATTCTCCTCTTAGGATCTTGGGCGCACACGTACACACACCCAAAGTGATTTTCAGGCCACCAGGTCCAGGACCGAACTGCTGTGGGCCATGTGGAAGCCCAGTGCCTTAACCACTATGCCCCCTGCTGGCCTCACACGTGATAAATTTTAATTCTGGATATAATAAGCACAAAACTAACTAAAGCTCTATATTGTAGTCAAGAAGAAAGACTCTAAAATCCTTCATATCTACGTATCTTAGCACATTTCAATTTTTAAACACTGAACATAATAACGAAGTCTTCAATGTACTCTTCGAATCACTTACACCAGCAAAGCGTTACTTTGGAGTCTCTGCCTCAGCCACACGAATTCTCTGTACCTTCTTCGTACGCATGACGTTTTCATTGTAAAACACATGCTATTAGTCTGTACGCAAAAACAGAAAAACATGAGTCTCACCTGAGGCAAAAAAAAAAACAAAATTTTAATTCTCAATGTGATCCTGATATTCATTCTAAATAGAATTTAAGCCACCAAAAATATTTACATTTATATCAGTATTCCAAAATATTGCCCATAAACACTAATAACACAGCAGGGGTGACACGAATGAGCAGTGTTGTCCCCAGTACTTGAGGCACAGCCTGGACACTTCTGAGGACTGAAGGGATCTTGTGTTCGCCTACCTGGGAGCACTGCTTTCCAGAATAAGTCGTAAAACATAAACAAATCCTCAAGTACAAATGACCAGTAAGAGCTCAGGGTTGGCCACTGCACGTAGACACCCATGCCCACAGGAAGAGTACAGAGATGACAGAACCTTCTCCTGGTCCTTTACGAGACATTCCAGAAGGCTTCATCTCCACATGGCCCTCCCTGTGGGGCACATAAATCACCAGGGAGCCTGGGAGCCTGAAACCTTTTTTTTTCCATCAGGCACGAGTACTTGCTGGATTGAACAGAGAGAGGAAAAGTGAGAAATCGCCCTCATAGGGGATATCCATGCCGCAATCCCTTCTCCTCTCAGGATTTTGGGCATGCACACACACACACGCACACGCACATACCTGCCGTGAGTTTCAAGCCACTAGGTCCAGGACTCTAACCGTGGTCAGCCATATGAAGTCCAGTGCCTTTAACTACCATACCCCCCGCTGGTCCCTGTGTCTACTGTTTTTTTTTTAATAGGAATATCTCTAATCTCTATTTATTTCAAGATCCTATTTTATAATCTTTATATGTCCAAGTAAGAATTTGCGTGGCCCCCAAGATTTGTATTATTTCACAGATGGTTATTCTAGCCTTTAATACGCCCAGCAGTCATTTTCCTTGGGAAATCTATGTGCATTCATTCAACTGCTCCCATGAAATCGAAGGCACAGTTACTGTATGTCTGAACTTTAAAACGTTCAAAAAACTTAAGAATACAGAGACCGAGAGACTCGTCCCCGAAGTAGCCTCCTCTGGTCTAAGTCCCACCATCTCTGACCGTGTAACGGCAACACAGAGGAGTTCGTGGCACAATAACGTCCTGTAGTGGACTGCAGAGCTCCGCAGGCCCTCTCTCATGTGCTGTTCGGAGGCTAAGCCAGCGAGCTGTTTCCCTAGAATCAGGGCCCTCACGAGGGGGCAGGTGTCCTCTCAGCAACCTCTCCAGGAAGCACCAGGCTACTGCAAGGCCTCCTGACATCCTAGGTGCAGCCTGAGTCCACCTACATCCCTTTCATTTCTCTGCTCATGGTCACTGTGGATGTCAAGAACGAAGATCCACCTGGAATCTACACTACGCGAAGGTCCACCTATAAGTCCCTCATTTGCAGCACAGGGTCAGGAGAGTATAGGATGGACTACCCAGCTCTACCACCTCCCAGTTTACAATTCCAAGTAAATGTTAAGATTTCAGAATTGCTGGGACCAGCAGTTAGCGTAATAGCTATGTCGCTGGACTCCCATGTAGTCGACCGCAGTTCAAGTCCCGGACCCGGCGGCTTAAACTCACACCGGGCGCGTGTGCGTGTGTGCCCAAGATCCTAAGAGGAGAATGGAGGAGAAGGGATTACGGCGTGGCCATCCCCCCTGGGGGGTGAGTTCTCACTTTCTGTCTCTATGTCTCTCTCTCTCTGTCTGGCGAGCACAGGCGCCCTATAGCAAAAACCTCTCAAAAAAAAAGAAAAAGAAAAAAGATTTCAGAATTGCCTAATACCATTTCCCTCCAGGCGAATTTAAATGAATGAAACAGCAGCTGCTCTCCCTGCAAAGCTCTGGAGTATCGCATCTAAGAGGGGCCACCTAGAACTCTCCAATCCTGTTATCCATTTTCAACTGTAGAACGAGAAGAAATCTTTTCAGGATCAGGTTATACTGAGGTTACTAACTGATTAAGTTCCTCTAAATCTGTTTGCTTTCTTCTGCTATCTACCAAGCCAAGAAATTATATTATTGTCAATGTATTAGCATTTCAGAGAAGTGCCAGAATGCCACCCAATAATATTTGCAGAACTCTTCATTTCTGGCTCCAGGTGGAGATTTCTGAATCTGCGACATGCTAGTGATATAAGCAGAGAAGAATCTGCACTTTCATTAACTCCTGAGAATTACTCAATTTCATGTTAACATAAAGTCTATGATAAGGACTCAAAATTTTTTTTAGAGAAAAGTAAAAGGCAACCATTTAAATTTCATGCTAACATAAACTATATGATAAGGACTCAAATTTTTTTAGAGAAAAGTAAAAGGCAACCATTTTATTTCAAATGCATATTCTTACACGGTTATGATTTTCCATACAGAATGCATCTCTGTGTGAGTTTATCAGTAACATTAAAACAAAATAAAAATATACAGCATGTCCTGGCCGTGGCCTACAGTGCAATCAGAAAGCAGGACTGGGGACCAGCAGGTGATGTGGTGGTTAGGTCTGGACTCCCACACGGCTGACCATGGTTCAAGTCCCAGACCTGGTGGCTTGCTTTCCCTCTCTCTCTTTCTCTCTCTCATCAAATTACAATCATAATAACAATAAGTAAAATTAAAATCATTTCTTTTTAAAAAAGCAGGACTGGGTTTTTACTTTTATTTTCAAAGCTGGAGAACCTTGAAAGAAAAATGGGAAAAGGGAGGGGAAAAGGTGTCTTAGGGCGTTTGAGTGCCCAAAATACCAACTTAGCTTGATTGAAGGATGGCTAAATGTTATGTCACTGGTACTGGGGTCACAGGTAAAATCTGAGACAGTTTTTATGATCCCAAGTTTGGACTTAATCAGATGTGAAAAGGAACTGTCTTCAGGGCTGGCAAGTGGCGTAGTGGTTAGGGGCGCTGGATTCTCACATGGCCGACCACAGTTCGAGTCCCGGACCTGGTGGTTTGTTTTCTCTCCTTCTCCTTCTCTCTCTGTCCCTCTCTGGTCAAATTAAAATAAATAAAGTTAAATAAAATAATTTAAAAAAAAAAAAGGAACTGTCTTCAAGATCAGTGCACAGTAAATACAGCCTAGGAGCCAGCTCTGCTCTGCCACCTTCCTGTTCCACGCGCAGCTTTACTGGAACACAATCGGGCTCGTGCGTTTTTGTGGGGCCTGTGGCTGCTTTCACCCACACCAGCAGAAGGGAGTCGTCATGACAGAAACCGTGTGGCCCCTGAAGCTGAGGACATCTACTACCTTTACAGAAAAGGCATGCAGGGAACCAGCAGTTAGCGTAATGGCTATGTCGCTGGACTCCCACGTAGTCGACCGCGGTTCATGTCCCGGACCCGGTGGCTTAAAACTCACGCCGGGCGCGTATGCGTGCGTGCCCAAGATCCCGAGAGGAGAATGGAGGAGAAGGGATTGCGGCGTGACCATCCCCCCTGGGGGGTGATTTCTCACTTTCTGTCTCTATGTCTCTCTCTGTCTGTCTGGCGAGCGCACGCGCCCTACAGTGAAAATCTCTCAAAAAAAAAAAAAAAGTAAAAGGCATGCAGACTCTTGTTCAAGGTGACCACAGAAGGCCATCGGCCAACACAGCACTGGTCAGGAGACCACGATGCGGCAGTGTCCGAACCAGGTGTATCATCTCCAGCTGTTTCCTTAGCACGTTAACTGTACGTATTCATTTCCTACTTTCTGATTCTGGTTTTGTTGTTGTTGTTGTTTTATTTAAGATGTTTGCCATAGGACACATGCACTTGCTGGACAGAGACAGTGAGAGGGAAAAGTGAGAAATCCCCCCCCCCAAGGGGGATGGCCATGTTGCAATCTCTTCTCCTCCATCCTCCGCCTGGGATTTTGGACACACACACACGTGCCAAGTGTGATTTTCAAGTCACCAGGTCCAGGATCCAAACCATAGTTGGCCATGTGGGAGTCCAACACCTTAACCACTATACTATCTGCTGGTCCCCAATTCTATTTTTTTGGAGAGATTTTCGCTATAGGGTGCGTGCGCTCTCCAGAGAGAGAGAGAGAGAGAGACATAGGAAAGAGAGAAATCACCCCCCAGGGGGGATGGTCACGCCGCAATCCCTTCTCCTCCATTTTCCTTGTGGGATCTTGGGCACGCATGCACACGCGCCTGGCGTGAGTTTTAAGCCACCAGGTCTGGGAAGCGAACCGCGGTCGACTACATGGGAGTCCAGCGACATAGCCATTACGTTAACTGCTGGTCCCCTCAATTCTATTTTTAAGACACTGTACATACATCTCTTTTCCAGAAACTCTATATCCTCTCCACACTTGAGATTTATCGGATACATATTATCCAGAAATATGCTGTCACAGACCCTAGAGACCATTAATGAGCTATAAATACACTTTTAATTGAGCTTTGAGTGTCTTCACCTCTTCATACCCTAAGGCAATAAACATTAAAATATTAATATGAACTGGTAAAAACAGGAATAAAAATAAGTAATTTTTCAACTATTCAATACAAGAATCATCTTACTACTCCGTTTAAGATGCACACATCAGTTGTAATCATTCAAATTCAGTTCTCTGATAGGAAAACTTATACATTTCAACTTGAAGTATATCGAAGTATCCCATAAAATATACGCTACTTAGAAATTACTATTTCTATGGGCCACTGATGGCATACTTACGTGAATACATATCTCATAGTCAATATAAGAATGCCAAAAGTCCTCCTTCTGAATCCTAGGATCTCGAACCCAGACACTGACAAACTCCTGCAATGCATCAGAAACAAAGAAATACATTTCAGAATTACAAGTGAAATGAGAAAGAGCCAAGAGAAAGGACTATACCAGAACAAAGCTGAAATGAGCTTTAGCCCGTCTGGCTGTAATCCTTTAAAAAACGAGAAGTAAAGTTAATGAATCAGGCACCACTGGCAAGTTCAAAAAACACTGTTGCCACAAATGGAATTTTTAAAACAATGCAATACTGAGCTGGGCACACGTGCGGATAGTTCTACAGGTGATTTGAAGACAAAAAAGAAAAGTGTACTCTAAAGCTAGTTCTAATTTTCGATCATGAAAAATAGGTTCATATTTTTCTCAAATATTAAAAATAGTCTTTCCTTACCATTGATGCTAAATTAAAATTTGATATTGTAACTTCTTCTTTTTTTTTTTTGAGAGATTTTTGCTACAGGGCGCATGTGCTCGCCAGAAAGACAGACAGAGACAGAGAGACAGAAAGTGAGAAGTCACCCCCCCGGGGACGGGGTGGGGGGAATGGCCACGCCACAATCCCTTCTCCATTCTCCTCTCAGAATCCCGGGCACGCACGCACATGCGCCCGGCGTGAGTTTAAGCCGCCGGGTCCAGGACTCGAACCGTGGTCGACTACATGGGAGTCCAGCGACATAGCCATTATGCTAACTGCTGGTCCCTGATATTGTAACTTCTGACCCTGCCTGGCAAATCACTTCCTAGAACAAAAATTAGAAAGGGTAGCAAAGGTCACGTGAAAAGTAAGCGATGGGGGGAACCAGCAGTTAGCGTAATGGCTATGTCGCTGGACTCCCACGTAGTCGACCGTGGTTCGCGTCCCGGACCCGGTGGCTTAAAACTCACACTGGGCGCGTGTGCGTGCGTGCCCAAGATCCTGAGAGGAGAATGGAGGAGAAGGGATTGCGGCGTGACCATCCCCCCTGGGGGGTGATTTCTCGCTTTCTGTCTCTATGTCTCTCTCTGTCTGTCTGGCGAGCGCACGCGCCCTATAGTGAAAATCTCTCCAAAAAAAAAAAAAAAAGTAAGCGATGGGCACTGAAATTGACTTTGTCCACGCAACCTCATGAGAATGAGCAGAAATAACTTATTAACAGAAAGATGAGGGCTTAGACCCACAGCCTAGTGGTAAAGGGAGCCAGATAACACACACATGGCCAACCACGGTTCAAATTCTGGCCCAGGTGGCTTGAAAAAAAATGCTGGACACAGGTGCATGCATACGCAAAATGCCAGCAACATGGCGAAATGGAGGAGAAAGGATTTCAGCGCAATCACATCTCATTGTGGGGTTCTTTTTCTTTCTAGCAAGTGGGCAATTGAAAGAGAGACAGAAAGAAGGAAAACCTTCCTTCACAGAGTACTTCTCTATTTTTAAGATTTATTTTCCACAGACTAAATCATTGTTATAAAGAATCATTTATTTTATTTATTAGTATTTTTTAATTTGACCAGAGCAAAAGAGAAAGGGAAAGTGAGAAAGCAAGCTGCCGGGTCTGGGACACCAACCGCAGTTGACCATGTAGGAGCATAGCGCCTTAACCACCACGCCACCTGCTGGCCCTAGATTAAATCATTTTATCTTCATAATATCCTTGTGTTATAGGTAAAAGCTAGGGATGAAAACAAAAGAAAAAAACATGGTTGATAATTTTGTTCCTTTTTAAAGATAATAATAATAATAAAGTTGTTATGGGGAAAATTTAAAACAATACTTTTCAAAAAGTGTTCTTCACTAAATAGCTCTAGTTTAAATATATGAAAACATCCAGCAAAAAGTGTTATGTCTGGCATGCTAAATTTTATAGTATAACTTATTCATTTAGTGATCATAAATTTGGTAACTGAATTTAATTTTAAATAGTTAAATTTTTTGTTAGGATTAGGGCTTCAGGCCCAGTCCCATGGTGCAGGCAATAGCAATGCTGGACCAGGGTTCGGATCACAGGATGACCGTACGCAAGCTGCACAGGACTGGGCGTCCAGGCTCCTGACGGGCTGGAGGGCTGGGGAAGGGACAACACCCCGTTCAGGGTGCCTGTCTCTCTCTTTCACTCACGTGTGTACCCAGGCACTGTCTCACAAAAGCAATAAAATTACGGTTTTTTTTTTGGTTTTTTTGGAGAGGTTTTTGCTATAGGGCACGTGTGCTCACCAGAAAGACAGAGAGAGACAGAGAGACAGAAAACGAGAAATCACCCCCCATGGGGGTGGCCACACCACAATCCCTTCTCCTCATTCTCTTCCCGGGATCTTGGGCATGCACGCACACGTGCCCAGCGTGAGTTTAAGGCACTGGGTCTGGGACTCGAACTGCTATCAACTACGTGGGAGTCCAGTGACATAACCATTACGCTAACTGCTGTTCCCAATAAAATAAACTTTTAAAAAGGGGGACAGAAGGGCCTGCAGATGGCGTAGCAGTTATGTCACTAGATTCCCACATGGCCAACCATAGATCAAGTCCCAGATCCTGTGACTTCAAACTCACACTTGGTGTGTGTGTATATATACATGTCCTAGATCCCAAGAGGAGAATGGAGGAGAAGGTGATATCTCGCTTTCTGTTTGTCTCTCTGGTGAGTGCACGTGCCCTATGGCAAAATCTCTCCGAAAAAAAAGTGGGAGGAGAGTCAGGGACCAGATAATGGCACTGGGGTAAAACACACACTGTGCAAGGCTGACCCACATGGGAAGGTTCAGGCTCATGGCTGGCACCCTCTGACTACGCCAGGTACATGTGTGCCCGTGATCTGGGGTCGGCTGAAGCTGCAGGTGGATCACAACATCAGGGCCCCATTGGGGGTGCTGTCTCTTTGTGTGTCACCCTCTCTCTCTGTCTCTCTCACTGATGGAAGAAATAAACAAATAAATGTTTTAAAAGACCGGGGCTTAGCTTCAAGGTTGAAATTCAGGCATCTCTTACTGCTTTGTGTCAGCATATCTCAGGGGCAGGCTATAAACACTTCAGATCAGAAGAACAAGAAGTATCAGGAGTTTTCGGAATCACGGTCACTTTGTATGCAGATAACAAATAATAAGAGTTTTCAGTACAGAAGACTGAAGAAAAAGGAAGGAAAATCATTCACATTTCCTGAAAATAATTTTGCCCCCTCTAAGTTTCACTTCTATGGCAACATACACTTCCCTTGCATTTGAGACTTCTGCCCCACCTCTGGTCCTTAGTGTGAAGGGATCATCGGTGATTGTTTCGAAAAGTCACACTTTTGAAAATCTTTCCATTATGTAATTTTAAAATCACTTAGGAGACAGAGAGACTGAGTGAAAACAAGATAACACTATAGCAATTGGGTCATTGGCCTTTCTTTGTAAACTTTGTTAGACGGTGCGTGTACTCACCGGAGACAGACGGTGACAGAGCGAGAAGGCACCACCCAATGGGGCATGACCATGTCATAATCCCTTCTCCATTTCTCCATCGGACTGGGATTTTGAGCATGCATGCACATGCGCCAGGTGTGTTTTTGAAGCCAAATCCGCGATTTGAACCAAGCAGGGAGCCCAGCGATTCCCTCCACCACCAGGCCACAGGTTGGCCCACGGACATTACTTCTCTAAAGCACATTCTAAATTATAAACAAGAAAATAAGATAAAAACAATTCCTAAAGCAAAGCATCTACAAGATTCCCTAATTTCGGGACCAACAGTTGGCGTAATGGCTATGTCGCTGGACTCTGATGTAGTTAACTGTAGTTTGAGTCCTGGACCCAGTGGCTTAAACTCATGCTGGGCACATGTGCGTGAGTGCCCAAGATCCTGAGAGGAGAATGGAGGAGAAGGGATTGCAGTGTGGCCATCCCCCCGGGGAGTATTTTGTTGCTGTCTCTCTGTCTTTCTGGTGAGCACACGCGCCCTATAGCAAAAACCTCAAAAAAAATTTTTTTTCTAATTTCATGTAGCATGACTGGGTCAGAGATAAAGTGGATCCTGCCCAGACACAAGAATACACACAAGCCCACGCCCACTGCTCTTGGTCTAATTCAGGTGGGAGATGATTTCTCACTTTCCTTCTCTCTCTCCCTAGCAAGCACAACACCCTATGGTAAAAATCCAAAAACAAAAAGAAAAGCTTTTCTTTGGCCTAAAGGTTCATTTTATTCATTTTTATGCACCCCTCAAAGAAGTGTGGACCCTGGGTACTGTGAGCAAGGCAGGATGACAACAGTGGACCAGATCATCCTGTCCCTTTTCGGGCAGACAACAAGGACACCTTCAGACAACAGGTCACATGTATGCCACGCTCCTTTCAAGATATTGGCAGCTCCACTTCTCCACGGAAGAGGCAGAAATTCTTAGATACACAAAAAAGGAAAATTAACTACTGCCAATAGTTCAATATTAATGGTTAGAGACAAGCTCCTGAAGCTGAAAGAACAGGCCTTCACACAGATTAAACATGAAAAGACAAATGAGGGGCCAGCAGACTGCATAGCAGTTACATCGCTGGACTCCCACATGGCTGACTGTGGTTTGAGTCCCAGACCTGATGGCTTGAAACTCATGCTGGGTGTGTGTGTGCACACGCGTGCCCAAGATCCCAGGAGGAGGATGAAGGAGGAGGGATTGTGGTATTGCCTCCCCGGGAGGTGATTTCTTACTATCCCTCTCATTGTCTCTCTCTCTCTCTCTTCCCAGAGAGCGGATATGCCCGAAAGCTAAATAAGTAAATAAAGACAAAGGAGACACACTTTTCGATTTGCTACAATTCTGTGATTTAAAAAAATTCTGAACTAAACCAGTAATATCCAGTTACCACAGTGCCCCATACCCTGGGACCACTCAACATATTACTAATCGATGATGGTAGTAATGAAAACTAGTTTTTCTTAAAAAAAAAAAAAAAAAAAAAGCATACTCGGGACCAGCAGTTAGCATAATGGCTATGTCGCTGGACTCACATGTAGTCGACCACGGTTCGAGTCCTGGACCCAGTGGCTTAAAACTCATGCCGGGCGTGTGTGCATGCGTGCCC